AAAAAAAAAAAAGAAAGATAGTCTCTTTTTTTTTTGGGCAACAAGAAAGATAGAGTCTCTATTGATGTTTGACCCAAAAAAGAAAGGCTGTATTGATGTTAATCATAAGAGCTGAAAGTTTGAAATAGTAGTAATAAGTAGTTTCATTGCGTCCACTCTGTATCACCAGACACCACTCGTTCAGAATGCATAAACCGAAGTTGGCAACCAAATTTAGTAGTAATATAAAAGATATTAGAAGTAATGACAATCATGTTTATGTCACTTCAACGTGTTAATACGCGTTTGGTATTTAACAATTGTTCCGTCTATGTCTATTTCACATCAGAGAAAGTGCGTTGCGCTTTCTTCATATGGTCAATATTTATCATAGTATGAACAGTTAAATTTAAACTTAGATTGTGGTTAAACATAATTATATGATCACTACGGTTGGAACTAAAAACAAAGTCAGACTTGGATTTAATGGGTTCCCACCCACATACGTAGCAAAAGAAATTGGGTTTAAACTTTATTATTGTCCCATTCAAATCACACATAAGATAAAAACAAGTAAGAAAATAAAAAAAATAAAACCGTGACTAATGTTATATTAGTCTCTATCATTGTGACCTCCAATACTTGGCCATTTCGAAGCCATTCTTACCATAGTGATAATCTTCAATGGTCATATCAATCTCAGCTTGAGTATTCATCACAAACGGACCGTACTGAACCACCGGTTCACCTATTGGTTCTCCAGCGATCAACACAAACCGCAGCTTCTTCGAAGATGACTTGTTCCACACGCTAACACCGTCATTTCCTTGTCCGAGCACCACAACATTGTGTGCTGAAACAGGAGACGCGTTTGATGAGCCGAAAGCAGCTCCACCCTCACCGCTCTCAAGAACGTAAGCAAATGCGTTCCAAGATTCGGGAACGTTTTGGTGGAACTGAGCTCCTGGTTCGAGAGTGAAATCGAGGAACATTGTTGGTGTTCTTGTGTAGACAGGAGATTGAATTCCCATTGATTCTCCTGCTATGACTTTGACTTGGACACCGTTTTGTTCTGCTTTTGGTATGTCTGAACTCGACAGTTCTTGGTAGTTTGGCTCTATCCTGTCGGAATCAAAACTAGAGAGTTAATTATCCGGTTTAGAAACTCCTAATAAAAATTTTAAATAGCTAGTGGATTTGTGTTACATTTTCTCGTTGGATGAAAGATTGATCCAAAGTTGTAGACCTTTGTTAACTTCTTCTTCAGGCATTTCAGAATGAATGATTCCTCTTCCTGCAGTCATCCACTGTAGAAATATACAAATTAGATTCTTTTTTCTCAAAAAGAAAAAAAAATTAGAATCTTTTTCGTTTTTTTTTTAAAAATTACTGTTGGATTCTGAATGGTTAAACAGCTCATTCTGTTTTTTTTTTCACCTGAACATCACCAGCATAGATTGTACCCTTATGACCTTTGAAATCTTGATGAGTTATTCCTCCCTACAAAGCAAAATAAGAGAAATATTAGAATAAGACCTATGTTTATCTTAGAAAACAAATTAGCCAAAAATAATTAAAAGATGTTAGTTTTACCTCTAGTACGTATGTCACAGTTTCAAAACCTGTCTCATCATAATATTCACCAAAAATGTTAATGTTAGAGAGACATTACATAAAATCATTTTCTATATTTCTATATATGTAATGTAACGTGTATATATGTATAGGTGGTTTGACCTCTGTGAGGATGATCTGGGAATCCAGCTGGAGGAGAAACTGCTCCAAAGAAAAATTACAGAGTAAAACATAATTAAAGAATTATCAATAAACTAATGACTGTCTTTCATTAGTGGATAAATTAGTTAAAATATAAAAATGGCTGTCTCCGAGAATATACCGGAGAATTCATCCAGCATCAAGAACGGATCTAATAACTTCTGCTCACTCCTAAATATACAACAAGAAAAATTTATAAGACTTGGTAAATGATAAATCATTAACTTGCCTAAAAAAGAAAGAAAAAAAGACTAAAGAACCTGGAAATGCCACGTCTAACGACGGCTCCATCGCCTTCTTTCTGAAGCTTAGCGAAGACTTTCTTGATTACAGATCTTGATACAAAGTTTTGGGAAGAAAAGAAGAAGAAGACATGGATTTAACGTTTCTGAATGATAACAAACCTCCAAGAAATTTTGCTCTGTTTATCGCAGCTCTCATATACTACTTGTGTTCTCTCTTTTTCTGCTTTAACTTGTGATCTCGTTAACAGATGAATTTGGGTTGTGTGTTTTGGTTTGGTGATTATGTGTAGCTATTTATAGAGTGACGGCTTTGAAAATGTTTGTGGGCCCTGATGGGCTTCAAAAAGTTTACACCGCCGCATTGTTTGGAACCAGACCGCTGATTGCATTGTGTCATGCTCACGTCATTATGATTCAAGCTCTGACGTCTTGTGAGTGTTTGATAAACTTTTGTATTGTGTATAAAAGTCCTTTACCCAGTTCGGCTTTTGAATTAATATCTTTAAAACGAAAAATGATATAGGATCTTTTTTTTTGTTCAGATAAAATATATTCAAATTTTGTATTTCCAACAAAAGTGAAAAACTAATATTTCATGACAAAAGGAGAAACTAGAATCTGTTTAGGTTTTCGGTATATTGTATTGAGTTCAGTTTACATTACTGATTACTGTATCAGTTTTTATGTAGATTCAGTATTACAGAAAGTAAAAAGTTTATCAGTTTTTATGTAGATTCAGTAGTACAGAAAGTAAAAAGTTCATGAGTTTATAATAGAGTGAAAGTACTAGACTTTGGCTAATGAATAAGACAACGTAGAGTAACTTTTAAAAATAAAATAAATTTACTTTAGCCATCTCAACTGATACCACTTTCAGATAATCCCCAAATTTATACGTTTAGTTTTATATGGATTAACCTCGAAGACCAGTTCAAAAGTTAACAAAATCAAGATGAGCTCTAGACTTCTACTGCCAACGTGGAACTTAGGGACGTGACACGTGTCCGTGTTGCATACATAGACACATACGCAACCTTGACGTCATCAAAATTTGGGTGTAGGAACCTTCATGTCTATCTGTAAAACTGGGTTCGTATTAAGAAAAAGTATTGTAGCTAATTGATATTTAATATATGACAGAAACATATACTATAAATCAATTCAAGTGACTCATGCTTACATCACGGATTCATGGTATATCGAATAGGTTGTCACTGTCGATGTAAATCAAATGGAAATGATTTGGTCATCATCATATTTTAAGATAATCGGGAACAAAAAAGGAAGATAGTCGAATTGCTTTTTCGTTTTTACATTTCTGGTAAAAAAATTTAGTGAAAGATCAATAGCACCCAATCTCAAGTGCTTTATCTCCTTGTCAAATATGTCACTTAAGTATGAAATTAGTAGTTTCATCTTTTCTTACTTCTCATATACTTTCAAAGTTACATAATTTTTATGTTCTTATAGAGTATAGTATTATCTAGCTCATTTCGGCTTTACTGCAACATTGTTTTAAAAAAGATTTTGAAAGTTCACATTTATTTTATCATCCTGTTTTTCTCACTCACCAGATAAATTTGAACAGTATCATTTAAATGACTTATAGGGTAACATATATTTTACTTGTTCTACTATGCATTTTAGATGTACCAACTAATTTAGTAAATTTATACATCGTATAGACAAACTCATCGAAATCCTGACAAAAAAAAAGATAATTAAATTCATTGTCATTACTGATTATATAATTTCTTATTGCATAATCAAACAATGCAGGCTTTTTTATATATTTCAAAAACATTTACATATACATTTCATAAGTAACCATTATTTATAATTATTTGTTCATTTAAAAAAATATGTTTTGGTGGATTTTTATGTGACTATTAGCTATTACGTTTTGTGGCATCTGTATGTGATCGTTATTTAATTAATGAAGTAGAAATCGAACCGGAGAGTAAATGGAGTATATCACTTTCAGTTCCTACATAACTATTCACGTTAATCCAAACAAATGTGACATATAATATGCCTAAGCAATACGTGTGCTTACATAAAATGGGCATTATTGTAAAGAAACGGACACTAATTATCGACTTCAGAACAGCTAGATCTTACACACTTGCTCGTTTCTGTTTGCTAGTTGGCTACCTAAAAATATGAAAGGGGCCTTCTATATCTAATTTTTAATTGTATTGAATGATATAAAATTGTTCCTTTTTGGTTAAATGAGTGATAGATTTAGAGGTTTTCTATACATACTATCTTTTCGAATCGTGACACAAGCCATAAATTACGAGTCTCGGTTATTTTATGGTTGTTAAATCATGGGTTATCTCCAGCTTTTTTTTTTTGTGTGTGTTTTTGTCATCTATCTCCAGTTTTTTTTGTTGTTTTTTTGTCACAACATTTATCTCCAGTTATATTATGTTAGTTTCTAATAAATGTTTTGTAACTGAAAGCAGGATAATAAGAAGTATGAGATGTAATTTTATAGGATTTGATAGCAAATTGGAATTTATGTAATTCCATGTCCCAAAAGTGTCATCCTCTCGTCATCATAACTTAAAACATATGGCGATATACATAAGAATACGGAAGAAACCAAAACCACATCCATTCATAACCACGGTTTGACTATAAATTTATTTATCTTTTTACTATGAAATCACAGAGTTGACTAACAATAATAATCATTAGGAAAGTATAATTAAAAATACCATGAATTCGTTTAGTTGACATATTCAATCAATTGAAAATAATAACTGAAAAGCAAATATCCTAACAAATTTTAGACTAATCATGAAACTTGGGTGTCACAAGCAATAAAATTCAGGCAGGACTATTTGTGCTTTAAGGCAAAGCCACGAGAA